AATCTTTGTTAGCAACTGTTCTGACAGAATCATATCTAGAATATATAAAGAGCACAAAAAACTTTACACCCAAAAGATCAAATAACCCAATTAATAACTGGGCAAATGAATTAATCAAACACTTCTCAAAAAAGAAATACAAATAGTTAAAATACAAAATACAAATAGAGAAAATATTCAACATCATTAGCAATTAGAGAAACAAACCAAAACTACACTGAGATCTCATATCACACCAGTCAGAATGGCAATAATTAAGAATACAGATAATATTAAATGCTGGAGAGGTTGTGGAGAAGAAGAAACACTTTTACATTGTTAGTGGGACTACAAATTAGTACAATCACTATGGGAATCAGTATGGAGGTTCTTCAAAAGACTAGGCATGGAACCACCACATGACCCAGGAATACACTCCTCAGTATTCATCCTGTAGAATTAAAGTCATCTTACTACAATGACACATGCATATTGATGTTTATAGCTACACAATTCACAATAACCAAACTATGGAACCAACCCAGGTGCCCATCATCAGATGAATGGATAATGTTGGATACACACACACACACACACACACACACACACACACACAACAGAGATTTATTCAGCCACAAAGAAAAATATAATTATGGCATTTGCAGGAAAATAAGTGGAACTAGAGACCATCATGTTAAGCAAAACTTAGAGATTAAGAGTCATATGGTTTTCTCATATAAGGAAGCGAGAGAGGAAAAAGGAAAACAAAGTTGGGGGCAGATTTTTTCCTAAAAATCAAAGGGAGATCAGTAGAAGAAATGGATGAAGAAGTGGGGGGAAGGGGGGGAGTTCTGGGGAGTGATATTGGCCAAATTATATTGTTATTTTGTGTTCATGTACAAATATGCAACAACAATTCCATCACTATGTACAACTCTATTGCACCAATTAAAAAATGTGGAAAGGAAAGAAAAAGAGAAAGTGATTGTCAATATCAGATTCATGGAGAGATAAAGATAGTTGAGGGTTAAGTCACTAGATTTAGTTGTTAGAAGGTGCTATGGTCTGAAGGTTTGTGTTCCCCCAAATTGATATATTCAAATCCTAACCACCAAGGGGATGGTACTAGGAGGTAGGACCTTGGGGAAGTGAAAAGGTTTTGAGGGTGGGGCCCTCATGAATGGGATCAGCATTCTTGTAGAAGAGACTCTTCACATTTTTCTACCACATGAGGATGCAGTGAAACAGTACCATCAATAAAGAGGCAGGCCCTCTTCAGACACCAAGTCTGCAGGCATCTTGATCTTGGACTTCCCAACTTCCAAAACTGTGAGGAATAAATTTCTAACCTTTGTAAGTACTCCATTGATTGATGATGGGTGTAGCTCAGTGTAAAAGAGCACTTGCCTAGCATGCATGAGGCCTGGGTTCCACACCTAGCCAAGAAAGCAAGCAAACAAACAAAAACGTAAGCACCCAGTTTATGGTATTTTGTTACAGCTGCCCAAATGGACTGAAACAAGAGGGGACTGTTCCCATCAGCACAGGCAGTTTCAAGGGGGTGATGGGAAAGGAACCATGACAAGAGCAGGCAAAGGGAAAAATGAATGAGAGTAGAAACTCTTTAAATAAATAAGCTGGCTTGTGAAGAAAAGGAAGGGTATAGGATTACATTAAAGAAGGGAGAAACAGGGATAAAGGTAGAATAATGTTGGGGTGGTTTGTTATTTATTTTGAAAATGGTCAAGACTGGGATGTATTTATAACCAAGGGGTTGAAAGGCAGATTAAATTCACAGAAAAGTTGGTTTGTAAAAGCCAAGTCCCGGAGAAGGATAGAAAGGATAGAATTTAGCATATAAGCACAGAGTTCATACTTAAACCAGAGGGATGAAGGACAGGGTTGGAAATGACAGAAGGGCTGGAGAAAGGTTTGGGCAGTGACGGGAACCCTGTACAGATGTCAGTTGGAAGATTATAGGGAACGAAGTCCATAGTCCAAGGCAATAATACAGCATCATTTCCTTCAACAAATAAAGGTTTGGAACACCCATGGCTCTCTGTGTCAGGGGCTTGCTGATGAGTATGATGCTGTGATTCTGAGAGACCTCTCTGGGACTCACCTCAAAAACTACTGAACTTTTTTCCGGCTGTCATGTATTTAAAATATGCAATTAAAAAAAAAAAACTACTGAACTTTTGTGCCTTCCTCTCCTTCCACTTACCCTTTCTTCCCAATCCTCTTTCCTTTTTCATCTATTTTATTATCCTCCTGTAAAGATTTCTTGTTTCACCAGGCACAATGGCATACGCCTATATCCCAGCAGCACGGGAGGCTGAGACAGGAGGATTGAGAGTTCAAAACCAGCCTCAGCAGTGGTGAGGCATTAAGCAACTCAGTGAGACCCTGTCTCTAAATAAAATACAAAATAGGGCTGGGGATGTGGGCTCAGTGGTTGAGTGCCCCTGAGTTCAATCCCCTGTACTCCTGCCCCAAAAAATATACACAAAAGGGCTGGGGATATAGCTCAGTTGGTAGAGTGTTTGCCTTACATGCATAAATCCCTGTTCAATCCCCAGAAACACACACACACTAAAAAAAAATTTTAAATGATTTCTTGTTTCTTTCTCTGTCCCCATGGTTTCCTGTCTGCCTCTTCTTTACCCCCTCTCCTTCATCTGCACCTGCCCTTGATTCCATCTGTTTCTTTTCCCTCTGTCCTTCCTTGAAATTGCAAAACAAAGAAACAAAATTGCACTTTCATCTCTTGTATTTGTTGAATAAGTATTGTTTCCTGTTCTTGATTTTTACAACAAACAAGTTGAAAATTTGATACTTTTTTCTCTAAAACTAAAAGTACATATGAATTTCTATTAGCTTTACTCTTATGGTTAATGACCCTTGATAAAACTATCTCCACCTCTGTTAGGAACCACACAAGAAGAAACAATATTTCATCCCCAACAAACAACATTTATTATGCAAATACTGTTGACTCCAAGAGAAAGAAAAGAGTTAAATGTAATAGTCTTAAATTCAATACTGTACTTTCAGCCAGGAATGGTGGCACATGCCTGTAAGCCCAGACATTTGGGAGACTGAGACAAGGATCACAAGTTCAAGGACAGTCTCAGAAATTTAGTGAGACCCTGTGTCAAAATAAAAACTAAAAAGGGCTGGGGATGTAGCTTGTGGTAAAGCACCCCTGGGTTCCATTTCCAGTATCAAAAATAATAATAATAATGGTGATGATGATGTTGATGATGATGATATACTTTCAAAGTTTTCAAGCATTATACTAGCAAATAAAACATAATGAACAAGAAAAAAACAAAGTGCATATTGATGTCCATAAATTCTGTTATAATGGAATTCAAATGAAGAGGTAGATGAAAATCAAATTTCTGCCCTAAGTACACAATTGTTTCAGGAAATCTCATGCTGTCTGTTGCTAACCAAGAAAATCAGTGTCCTCTTCCTATTCTGACCTGTCAACAAAGTGAGCTGAGTGCCCTTGTTGCCCTGATGACAGCAGATGACTCTCAGGCCACACACAAAACCACAGATCCTGACTCAGGTTGTGGATCCTTAGTAGAGACTCACAACGGGGTTTCACATGGACTTGGGCTCCTTTAGGTGACTTAAGGCCAGGAGTTTTCAACAGTGCTTTAGCAGAACCAATCTTCTACATGGATGACGATTTCTGTTGAAAGGGAATATATAAAAATTTCGTCCATTGTTGTGAGCTAAATTCTGAGCCCAGTTCAATAAAAGCCTAAATTGTGGCCATGTCTTTATTTAAATAGTGTTCAAGTCTTATGCTTCTATATAAAACCTCAAATTATACATATCTTGCTTAAATGTCTTGACATGCCCCTTATAAAGGAAGCTCCAAGTTTAAAAGATATTTAATTTTTAAAAGAGGAAAATTACGAGTGGGAAGAAAGAGTCTTCACAGAGCTCCAGGAGATGAGGTTGGTAACAGATTCCAAAAATTCCGGTTCAGATTCCCAAAAAAAGCAGAGAGGGGTGTACATTAGACAGGTTTAGGGTATGACATCCCTAGAAGAGGTGTTTCAGCAGCTTGGAGAATTTCAAGAACAGTAGACTTGTATGTAAGATCTACAAGGCTAACAATGAAGCAGGAGCCAGAAAAAGCAAAACAGCCCAAGAGCAACTCTCACAAGGTGTAAAGAAGAACCAATGTGTCCTTTGTGTTTTCCGGCCTCTTGAACTGTTTCTCAGATGTTCCCTCCAGGCAGCCTTCAAAGCATGCATCTTCCATACTCCTTGAGTTCTCCATTCCTGAGTGCCTGGATCATTGCTGTCATAAATATCTAATAAAATGATTTGCAGTAAAGTTCCATTTGGAGAGAAAATAGCTTCCAATATATTCTTTGGGCAGTATTTACATTTTAAAGTTGGGCCTTAGAAGGCAATGCCTAACCCAAGAAGGACAAAATCTTGGTGAATTTTGAGCAGGTGTGTCAGGCAACAGGAGAGAAAAAGAGCTGTGCTTATCACCAGCAACCATGCTAGAGTGATTACCTATTCGTCACGTTTTCTTTTTCAATTATCTTCTGCCATGTATCTATCAAAATTATTTTAAAATGATACCTACATTATTCAAAGTGTAATTACCTTACTTTATCCCCAAGTCTTCATTTCTTTTCTTTCAACTCACTTCTAATACCTAAACTCTGTACTTGATTGTAAAAATATAAGTCCAAAGGCAAAAATGTCCTTAAAAGCAACCAAAGCACTTACTTATATAGGTAGATCTTCGTGGTTATTTAAAGATATAAAAATCATCTTCTCTAATTTGATCATTCTTAAGAGTTGAAACCACCAACTCCCCATTTAGTTATCAGTTTGAGGGGATAAACTCCCTTCACAAAGTGTAAGGCCCTCCTTCAGTCTAGGTTAAGATGACTTTCTTTTTAAATAAATGATTTATGCATGCTAACTCATGCTTTTTTCTCACTTTTCCCTCTTTCCCTTCTCCCACTTACATTTCTCAGGACAAACGTTGCCTTTCACTTCACTGCCAGCCCTTCCCAACCTCAGGTAAGTGAGGGCCCCAAGAGTTATTAAGAGCCCACCTATTGGTATTACCCTCAGAAACCATGGTAACACAGAGTCTGCGTTCAGTGTGGCCCTTGACCTTTCACAATTTGAGATGTATTTGCATTCTAGATTGTTCCTCCTGTCACTGGGATTTGGGACACAACATTTAAATTTTTTAATATTTATTTTTTAGTTGTAATTGGACACAATATCTTTATTTTATTTATTTATTTATTTATTTATTTATTTATTTATTTATGTGATGCTGAGGATCGAACCTAGGGTCTTACACATGCTAGGCGAGCACTCTACCGCTGAGCCACAATCCCAGCACCACAACATTTATTTTATCCCCTTAGTTGGTGTGAAATGAAAGACATGATATTTGTTTCCTGGCGTGCCTTGGTTTAATTTTCATTGAGCAGATTGTATGTTTACTATGTCCCAAGTACAATGGAGATTGCACCAGGTACTGGGAGCACAGGATAAAGAAGAGAGAGATACAAATTCTATCACTGTGGATGTAATACTTGGGATGGGGAGGAACAGAAAGTGGAAGGCTCACACACCAAACAGATACACCAATAATTAACTTGAAAGTACGACAAAAATAGGCCAGATTTTAATTTCTACAGTGTTATTGCTAGAATATGTAAGTTTCTCCTGGCATAAAAAAAAGAGCAGGAATGCTGACAAAAATGTAACATGAGAATTAATTATTTTGGGTGTTCCTTATGAAGTCATAATCACAAACAGAATAAATACATGAAAATTTTAATTATTTCAGGCTGTTTTTGGTAACATTTCTAGCTAATTTTTTTTAACTTTTTTATAGTTTCTAAAAAGTATAAATAGCAAATTTAAAACAAGTTTATTTATTGTCTTAGTATTTATTACAAATTTTCTGCAGGCTTTAATAGAATTTTGGTCCTAAATTCTTTTGCTTTGGATATAGTAAAGCTGATATTAAAATATTTTTGAACTGTTGTAAACCTACTACAGTCACTGGTGTGCTGGTAAATATTGAGCAACTTTTCTCAGAGAAAATGCCTTCATTTATTTTATGGCATCTGCCCATTCCTGCGGTGTAAATACCTCTATCATGGCTGATTTCAAAATCATAGAGTTGGGAAGAGATGCATGCAATGAGCTTTCCCAAGTCTGTATGAACTGACTCCTACACATCTTTTAAAAATTAAAATTAGCATGGTGGCACATCCATGTGACCCTGACTACTGCAGAGACTGAGGCATGATGATCATAAGTTGAAGGCTAGCCTGGACAGGACCCTGTCTCAAAAAAAAAAAAAAAAATCTTTAAAAGATCTTGGGCTATAGCTCAGGGGTTAAGTGCTTGCCCACCATAAGCAAGGCCCTGGGTTCAATCCCCAGTACCAGAAAAAAAAAAAAAAAAAAGTTAAATTGCCCCTTTCAGTGAAAGTCTCTGTTGTGCATATATGCTGCCACCCTGTGGCAGGAGAGGGCCATAGACCATAATCGGTTGCCTTCAACATTTATTGACCATTAATTAAAAAAAAAAAAAAAAAGCAGTATTGCTAGGTACAATGAGAGATACCTAGAAAAAGACAGAACAACTTTCACTAACTACAGGAAGAGTGAAGTATGCACAGACTATGATAAATATGATCCATGAATATTGTATACACAATCTAATAGAAGAGCTTGTAGTCCGACAATCAGTGACAATTATATATTTGACTCCTTTTTATTTTTAAAAATATGTAAATGTCAAAATCTAAATACTTTGTATATAAACCCCACACTAGAATTACAAATACTTAGAACAAACTAATAAAACAGAACATGAAAAGTCTTTGATACCTATAAAAGTCTTACTTTACTCTTAACTATTTCCATTTGACCTGTATTTTATTATCCTCTTTGTTTACAGAAAAGATTTTCTAATGTTGTAAACTCATCTAAAGTGAATGTAGCTGTACATTCCCAGACAGCCTCTGTCAATCACTGCTTCTCCTCCTATAAAGTAGAAGCAGGTTGCTGAACTGACTGGTTACAGAAACTGGGTGGCTAGTCAGGGCCTACATGGTGATTTTTAGCCTAAATTCCAGCCATTGCTGTGCCTACTTGTCCTTTGCTTACTCTAGTTGAAGTAGATTTTTAGGGCAGGGGTCAAAAACATTTGTTTGGGATTTATGGTAACTTAGAGAAAATGAGATTGATAATACTTGAGCATATCAATAAGGTGTCCATAAGTAGCAACTGCTTGCACAAATTCAATAATCATCATGAGAAATATATATATGATGCTCAACATTGCCAATAGTAATCATAATAATCCTCTTGAATTACAAAGTGCCATCCCCTGAGTACCAGAAATTCCTTTTGGGAATTCCAGACTCTCTACCTTTTAAAGAGCCCTATATTATATGTATTTGAATCAAACTCAAAAATGAAGAGAGTTCTTGGAGGTATCACTGACTGTTACAAGATATGAATAAACTTCAAAAACCAGCATTATTAACATTTCTTTATCTTAATATGATTTTTTCCCCATCAGAAACTTTTGGATTATTGAAAAACATTCCATTTTTATTGCCCTGGTTCTCAAAACAATATTAGTAAAAAAAATGATATTGAAATATAAATTGTATTATGTTTTGCTTGTCTTTTAAAGTGATGGGTTTATTAGAGTCCTAGGATGTGGGGCTCATTTGCGTTATTTTCCTCAAAATCTTAATCAGAAGCTTGACATAGTTTCTCATTGACTTCCCAAGCTTACCATTATTGAGCAGATTCTCCCTTTCTTCATCATTAGTGACATGTTTAAAACTTAAGAGTCAATACTTATGGATTATGAGTCCATTGGGTATTCCCAGTGGACTCATAATCTGTATATGTAAATAGTATAACTTCTTTCTATTAGAAATGTTTCCTACTTCTGATGATTTTTTTAAATGTTTTGATTCTGATGATTTTTTTTTGGCAAGTGTCTTTTAAATATGCCTGAGTTTGCCAAAGACTGTGAACATATTTTAGGAGCTAGATATAGGATCTCATCTTGGAATCTAAATGTCTTCTTAGATTCTTTGGTGGAAGGTCTAAGGGAAAGACTGGTGTAGCACTAATTCTTGCCTATGAGAAAGTGGTCAAAATGCTTGAAGAACAGGCTTACCTGCTTTTCAAGGTGAGGCTTCATATTTCACATTGGCCACACAGAAATAAATCTTGCCTCATGTTATATCCGCATATTTATAATTCTAAGGGTTTGTGTGTGGGGGGGTCGGGGGTACTTCTTAAGTAGGAAATGCACAATTTATTTGAAAAGAAATGGTCACACCATAAAATGAAATGGCATCTTTGGGTGAATGGTGACTTTGTCATATTTCCTGCTAAATCTTTCTAACATCTGGCAGAACTGTCAGTTGCTCAATATGCATGAGATGAGTGCTGTCTGAAATAATAACAATTCATTGAGATTTGCATCTGAACTTTGTACTTGATAGTAGAGAATATAGTCCTATTCGTGTGAAAATGGTTTGAGTCCATCACTGTAAGTATTTCCTAATATTAACAAATCATGTCTTTCCTTTTCTTTTTCTCAGTATTTTCTATACAAATTTCCCAAAGATGTGGACTCAGTTATCATTAAAGTGGTATCGGAAATGGCTTATCCATGTTCTGTTGTCTCAGTCCAGAACATCATGGTGAGTCCTTCTAATAGGTAGTATTGTATTATCTAGAATAAATGAAAGGGAAGAGCAAGGACAACAGCATCCTTTTACACTATGTGTCTCCCCCAAATTGATAAATAATAAGAAAAGTATCTTATGCACCTAAGTGCATGTTCATGTTTGCAGACATTTATTTAGAGAAATAAAAGACAAAGAATAGTTGGCTTCTCACCAAAAAAAAAAAAGAAAGAAAAAGAAAGAAAGAAAGAAAGAAGGGTGGAAGAGAGGGAAGGAGAGAGGAAGGGAAGAGGTAATATGGATCTTGACAAAGAACAAGGAAGACCAAGTTGTGGGTTCCACAAAAAAAGTAGAATAGAAACCTACCATTTGTTCTGTTTTAAAATTTTTATTGTAACATTCAATGTTACCAGGTGTTAACAAAAAGAAATAGGGACTGTGTTATATACTTTAAGACAATCTTCTCATAGTTATCTTGAGTGTAAAGTGACTTTAACTTGAAAGGCCAAGACACCAGATATTAGGCGGGCTATTTCATAACTGTGCTGGGGAGAAACCTTTCATGGTTTCTGGTTTAGTAAGGACTCCCCTGATCTGTGGTCCAGGTGGAAACGCCTAGACAAGTTCTACGTGTGACATGACATTATGTAACATTAATGATTCTTTCATTTTAATCTTTATGCATTTTGTAGTGCCCAGTGTATGATCTTGACCACAATGTGGAATTTAATGGTGTCTATCAGTCCATGACCAAGAAAGCTGCCATCACACTACAGGTGAGACGTTGCTTCTGTGTCCACTGTTGTCACGACAATGCTTAATCAGTAGTCAGTTTACCTACTGAACTAGCGTTCAAAAGAGATGGCTATCCCCTGTGTACCTTGGATCTCTTTCCTCTCTGACTGGTTTAAAACTAAGATTGTTATTGGTAAAACCAAAGCTGAGTGATCACAAATGATGCTATTCTTCTAAGTAGGGATTTCTCCCCATCCATGGGGATTCTTGGGAACCCATGGTGCAGTAGGACACATAACTGACAGATTGCCTAGAGAAATAAGGATAAAAGAGTTCTACTCATTGGAAGCTGTCAATTTACAATAAAGTTTATCAGATCCACTTACAGCAATTAAATATATTCTACAGTCTGTACCAGTAACAGCAAAATATGACTTCAACTGGACAAAATGACAGATTCAAAGCAATATGAATTGTTGTGTGCAGCAGTTTACTCCTTTGGTATTTGTAACTAAATTATTATTTTCATGTAAAAAGGTACATACATCATAGCAGCATATTTTCAAACAGATTCTGTCCTTGCCCTTGGAGTGGTACTGACTTAAAGAACCCATGACTTGACCTATTCTCTAGGGAATGGTGATATTGTTTCTTGAATAATAGGCATAGAATGAAGAGGTATCAGGCCTCACAAATTCTATCAGTCTAACTTTAATTTTTGAGGGTCTCAAATTTGATATCCCAAATATCTTCTCTTGTTGTTAGTATTTCTTCCTTAGCATCTCAGCATCACATGGTCCAAAATAAACAAAAATGACAGAAAAGTAACCATAATAGGGAACTTCAGATTTTACGTCACCCAGGATACTTCGTTAATGAAGGGCAAGACATATAAGATCATGTCTGCCTTAGATGTAATTGTTAATAAACTTCTTTTGGAGCCCCCACTTCAGCCTTAGACCATTTTCTCAGTGGGAAAAACATAATACCAGAAATTTGAGGATGATAAAAAATAATTCAGGCCAAGATCATTGTAATGTTATGTGTAGCTAATAAAAAAATTAAAAATAAATAAATAAATGATAATGATAATTCAGGGTTATAGAACTCTAATATACCTTAAAGGTTATCTTATCAACGATAGTACATTCATGGATGAGAAAACTGGGACACAGAGAAGCACAAAGACAGTCAAAATCAAGACTATAATAACTCCCACCTTGGGTCCTTTACTTCCCTCACCTGAATTATTTATTTAACTGCTGAGTGTATGATGTTTAGAAAAGTCATTTATCATTAGATTTTAAAACAAAAACTTAATGTGAAGATATTAATTATTAAGTGTAGGTTATTGACATTATTTGTATGGTGCCTATCATAGTTCTACACACTCATGTGGGCACAAAGTAGACTCAAACCATAGTAGCATATCTGTTTAATTTCTTTGATGCAATAATTATCTTATTGTAGATAATCTGGAATCAATTACAGTTATGTGAGAGTCCTTTCCAAGTGCGTAAAGGGCTGGGGTGAACTCTACTTTTCTCTTTCTTTGTGTCCCTACCCCCATGGACTTTCTCCCTTCTTCTCGCTGTCTTCCTTATGGGCCTATCATAAGGTTGTTTTGTCTTACACAGAAGAAGGATTTTCCAGATGAGCAGTTCTTCGTGGTGTTTGTGATAAAACCTGAAGATTACGCGTGTGGAGGATCATTCTTCATCCAGGGTAAGAGATAGTGAGAAATACCTGGAAGGGAATGAAAGGTAGCCACAAGTTTATCTCTAGTTCCCATTACGGGTCCATCAGCGGTGATTTGGCAGGGCAGTCTGAGAGACACTTGAGGAAGAAAATAACAGACTAAAGGTATTATTGATGCTGCAAAATATCATTGAGTACATCCTAACATTTTAAAGTCTTATACTCCCTCAGGCCATGTAAGTAAACTCGCTCAGTTGGCCCTTTACTCAGCAAATATTTGCAATTGTGAAGTAAAGATATTACACAGTGGGTCAAGGTCTATTTCCTGAGTTTCCTAAGATAGAACCCTTATATTTATCAGTAGTAATCATTTCTATAAAGACATTACAAGAAAAATTTAGAGTTTACTATTCAGGTTGCCAAAGTTATACCACATAAGATAGTAAGAAAGCTGAGTATCACGGCTTTATCCCAAAGATAAGGGGTTATGTGAGCTCTCAGGCATAGTACAAAGAGTTATGGGTAACTACCCAGTTCTACCTTGGGAATGGAATTGACAATATAGACCTCCCATCCCCTGCTGAAGAACAATTTATGGACAACATAGAGAGTATTTACTGTTGAGTATAACATGGTTCCTTCAGTGTTTGGGTGAAATTTCTGCTAGCGTGCTCTTTAATCTCTTAATTACATAGCTGTGGAGTTTTACCAGTGTCAGTGTTCCTTAATAAACTATAAGCTGCTCAAGGAAAAAACAACTTTTTACTGGCCAGAAGAAAAATGCAAACTAAAGGAAGACATAGCTTTCTGTTTTTTACAACTGTTTTCTTCAGATCTCTGTAGACATAAAGAGAAGGACCAAATCCTTCTTCACCGAAGGAAGGACACTGAAGTCTCTTTTGCATCAGTTGGTGCAACTAAAATGTGCTCAGGCAAAGGCCAAATTGAGACTTTTAACCAAAAGGAATATTAGATAGTTTGAAGATTTGAAAGTTAGATTTTCCTCCTCTTCTTGTTAAAATGAAATTCAGCAGCCAGAGTTAATTCTGGACATTTTTGTACAACTACTCAGAAGAGAGGACAAGAATTGCATATCTAATCCATGGCACCTTCTGCTTTGTTTTTGTTGTTGTTTTCGGTCTTTCATTTTTATTTTTGTTGGTTTGGTTTGGCCTTTGTTTTGTTTTTATCAGAAAATGAGAACCAGACTTGGAATCTACAACGAACAAAGAAACTTAAAGTGACCATCGTTCCTTCCATTAAAGGTCAGTGTTGACTCTGGGATGTGGTGGGGAGATTCCTGTGTCAGGACATTTCTCAAACATGGTTCGACACGGTCATCCTCCCAGAGAAGATCATCACAGAAAAACTAAAGTCCATTTGCCTTAGAGATAGAAGAGGGAATCAGGACACCTCATTAGAAAGGGAACCCGGTTCTAGAGCTGAATACAGCAGTCCTTCCCAAGTCTTCCTTGAGGAAGCCAGCTGCCTGAGGATAATAAGAAGGGGTGGTGTGTGGATGACCTCCCGCACCTTTGCTGCTCTGAATGAAAACTTCTTGGGACTTAAGAAGGGGTATAATGGAGGTGGGCCCATTAAGCTGTCCTGTCCCAGACGTCGTCCTCCTCCTCCTGAGGACAACCTGACCAACGTCATTTCTTCTCCTCTCAGAATCTGTTTACGTGAAAGCCAGTCTTTTCAGTGTCTTCATCTTCTTTTCCTTCTACGTGGGATGCCTGCTCATGGTGTTTGTTCATTACGTGAGGTAGGTCCAAAGTTTCAAGGACTGTTCATGCCTTTGCCTGTCTCCATGTAATGACAGCAGAGATTTTAGAGCCATATTGACAAGCTACCTCAGCCACTGACTGTGACCTTGGGTAGGCTGCTTAACGTCCTGGGCCTCAGGTTTCTCATGTAAAATGAGATAATAATTTACCTCATAGAATAGTGTAACTAGCAGAGTTCATGTCAGGGTCATGCACATGGTTAGTGCTGATACGGTGTTGGCTATTTTCATAATGAAAACTCAACCGAAAGGCAGCTTGTTTTTTTTAAACTGAAATCCTATAGACTGTAGGAAATGATCAGTTGTCCCTAACATGGAACTAACATGAAACCGCTTTAAACATTCTATCAAAAAGTAAATTTTTGATATGTCAAGAGCTATGTAATGTTTTGAACAACTAATAATAAAAATAGAAAATAAAATTTAAAAAGTAAATTTTATACCTAAAATAAATCTTGAGGTACCATAAGTAGCAAGAGTAATATGTTCTGATGCCACCACATTACCAGGTGCTTTTCTACTATTATAGTATCAATTTTCCAGTAAAATGTTCCTTTGGAGAAAAAGAAGGGAGTTAATGGTGCCATAATTTAGCCAAAGAAATTTCCCTTCCCAAGAATTTGGAGCCCCTCATTTAAAAAAGCCAATCTTTCTTCCACTCTCAGCAGGACTGAGTCTTGAGAATTCCATTCTTTGTTGTGCTTTCTGGGAAACAACTACTAAAGAATGGCAGGAGGTTTACAATAAACAAATATTCTCTCTTCCCTTGAATATGTCAAGAAAACAAAGCCAGCATGGAGTTTTAACACTGTTGAGCAAGATGAATCCGTCTATAGGAAAATCTCTCTGCTATCTCAATGATACAACTGTCTCAATGATTGAAAACTATCTTTGACTCAACCAAGTCCCTTCTGATCTTTAGGAAGCTTTTGAATTGAGATACTGCCTTCAAAAACCCTGGTACCACTACTAGCCAAATCTGGCAGAATTTAAGCACCAAAATAATTGAAAACAATGAATTACAAACCATTAGGGGAAAAATGGAAAGCCATGAGCCCATATATCATAAATAAAGGAAAGACTTAAATATCTGCAGATATATATCCAATGAATTCAACAACTTCACTAAAACAGATACCCATTAGGGAAAGATGCCTCTAGCAAATACAGTAAAAGGAAGGGCTTTTGCCTACAGCAGAAGACCAAGAGCTGACTGGTAGATAGGAAGGGGATCCTGGAATTGAAAAATTATCATTTTGGAAACATCATAGTACAGACTAGATCAGGTTAGACATTTTCAATGGATGCTAAATTTAGAGGGGAAATCCTATGAGAATCAAGATATTTGTGTGACCTTAACAGATATTCTCACTAATTGCTTTCTAGTTGTAAGGGGAAAAGATAAGAACTATACAGAATTAATCAAACACATTGATTAGAATTAATATCATCAAGGAGAGGGTGGTCCTCTGAACATGACACCCGAAAAAGATGACATCACATAGGTGGTGTTTTAGAAAGCCATATGTTGAATTTAATCATGTGGAAAGACTAGACACAAAATGTTCATAGAAGACAAAGGATAGAGCTGAGGCTATAGCTCAGTGGCAGAGCACTTGCCTAGCATGTGTGAGGCACTGGGTTCAATCCTTAGCACCATATACAAATAAAATAAAGGCATTCTATCCATCTACAACTACAAAAAATTTTTTTAAAGAAGACAAAGGATATATGGAATTGTTTCATATCAAAGGTGAGTAAAAACATCTGACACCTAAAGATAATACCTGATCTCAGATTGGATCTTGTACTAGAAATTTTGATACTTGTATAATGGTTATGTAAGATAATACCTTTACTCTTTGGAAATATTTAAGGATAAAACTCTACAACATATGCAATTTGTCAAATGGTACAGAAAGAAAATTCAGATAGACACATGAAATACATAGATAGCTAGATACACATAGAGAGAAAGAACAATAGAAGCAAATGGAGTAATAAGCTAATAATAAGTGAATGTAGGTAATGGGGATATGGATGTTTTATATTCTATTCTTAAAATTATTTTCAAATAAAAAGTTAAAAACAAAAACCTCAGGGTAGGGCAATTTTTATACCTGGAAAGTATGTATATTAACTGATCATCAGCTATATTAATTTACCAGATCAGAGTCACTAACATTTAACAAGTACCTGTTCTGTGCCAAGAAGTGTGCTGAGCCCGCTAAGTAGTTTTTCTCATCTCATGCCTCCAACAGCATTTACCACTATTATCACCATGTAACAGTTAAGGAAATTGAGGCACAGAGAGATTAAGCAATTTGACCAAAAATTCACAGCCAGTAAATGAAAGAGCTAGGTTTTGAACTCAGGCAGGCTGGTTCCTCTCCTGATATCTTAGGCAGACTGATCAAGTTGGGTCTGGAGTGGTCAGGGCATGTGAAGGAAGACAGTCCTGGTGAGGGAGACCTTACCCAAAGCCTAGGCACCCCAGCAAGGATGCAATTTTATAATGGTCCCCAAGTTTCCAATTTTGCTTCAGATGAGCTCCAATGTTCTGGAGCTCTCTTCTGCCTCTCTTAGACTATCTCCACTTCTGATTTTAAAAAATAGGATTTAGTCTTAGCTAGCATGTATAATCAACACAGAGACAAAAAAAATTAAGTAAATAGCCGATTAGAAATCTCTCTAAATTATTCAACCAACTGAAGTGAGCACAGATTTTGAAACTTGTAGTTTAAGGCTCTGTTGAAACTTCTAGCTGCAAATTATTTTGCTACAGTCAAATGCACAAGCATATATTCTTTCTAAAGATAGACAAACTGAAAATAGAAATCTGGAGACATAAAAACCATGTGGCATTCTAAACAGAGGAATAGACTGGGGGAAATGCTAATGGGAGATCTCTTCCTTCACTGAACTAAGTGAAACAAAGTTTTCTGCAAAACCATTTGAAACCAGTTTTCTCAGCATAATGACATCTACTTGATGGGTCCCCTAAACTTTAGTATGTATTAGTACAAATAGAATTTGTGCTATGAGATCATGATGAGAAATATTGACAAGAGACAGAGCCCTGCCCTCAGGGAGCTAAGATTATAGTACCTTTATGCTGTATTGGCACGTAAGCACCATTTGCTGTCCATCTTCCAGCCCCAATCCATTCAGCATTCTATAAAGAATGTTCAGGCTTAAGGCCAAGCACTGCATGTGTGTTCTCTTACTTGTTCTTCACAACCACCCCTGCCAGACGTTGAGTCCAAACCACCTAATCTTGAGTCCTCATCCTTCCCTTTGATTCTTTATTAGTTATCCATTTCTACAATAATACTGCTTTAAAAACAACCACAAAATTCTAGCAGCATATAGCAATGGATTTGCTCTTAAATCCATGGGTCAGTTGGATGGCTCTGCTATTCTGGCCTGGGTTCAGAGATCTCAGCGGGATGCAGTCATAAAGTGTGATTCACTGGAAGTTCAGCTAGGATCTGGTTCTTATAGACTGTCCTCAACTGCTCTTGGTCTCTCATCACCCAGAAAGCTAGCCTGGGATTATTATCTCAAAGAGAGATAGCAGAAGTGTGCAGTACCTCCTTAACATGTTGGTTCAGAAGTACTTCCTCCTCATTCCACTGGAAGGGGAATAAGTCATGAAGCCAGCCCATATTCCAGAAATGAAGATGTAGACACTACCTTTTGATTGAGAAAAAACAGCCACTTTTGCCATCAAACTAGACTAGTTCTCATTTGCCATGTTTTGATTTGTTCACTGGATACTGCCTGCCTCCCGCTAGCTTTGTAAATCATTTTACTCTAACAAAGAATCTTATCAGTTCCAAAAGCTAGTGCAAATGTGGAATAAAGCCCGTTAATACAAACACATCATCTTCTATGCTTGCCAGTTGATATCACTACAATTATTAAAAAGCAATTTCACCAAAGCCTCCTTTGCCAGCTAGAACAGTCAGGCCAAATTGTAACTATTTTTCTTAGTGATATACTTTGTTCAATCAAACATATGTAATTAGCATCTCTTATATTCCAGGCTAGATGTAACAGAACAAAAGAATCTAGATCCTTGCCCAACTATAGCTTACATGAGAGGAAAGAAACAAACAAACAAGTAAGCAATTAATAAAGAAATAATTCCAGCTAGTGACAGTGGTGTGGTAGTGACTGGACTGAGACACCACTTTAGATTTTATTTGGTCAATAGGGAAGACCTCTAAGGGCCAAGGACTAAATAGTGAAGAGGAGCCAATCATGTAAGGATCTGAGGAAAGTGGCCCAGGCAGAGAATAAGAGTAAAGGCCCTGAGGCAGGGATGAGTTTTGTGTGGCCTAAGAACAAAAGAGATTTGAGGGGGAAGTTATTCCACCAAACATACTAGGATCAGGGTGTGCAACCTCTATACTTCTCAACAGGAAGTGCATGAGTATTTCTGGATCCCAGAGAGTCTCCCCAGTCCTTCCAACCTCACATCCAAAAAGGAGGCTCATTTTGGGAGAAGAAAGCCACTCACATCCTAATTTTTTATAAACAGTCCCAAATGATAGATCTGGCTTAATAATAGCTTTATTGATATGAAATTGTGTACTATAAAATTCACCCCTTTAAAGTTGCAATTCATATATTTTTGTATACTCACAATTACATAATCATCACCACGATCTAACTTCAGAACATTTTTTTTTTCATTTCAAAAAAGAAGCTCTGAGTTCAACAAGTTTGCAAGGTACAGGTTACTATATAAAAATCAATTGTATTTCTGTATACTAGCAATGAACAACCAAAAAATGCAATTAAGAAAATAATTCTATTTACAAAAGCACCAAAAATAATAAAAATTTAAGAAAAAAGTTAACAAATTAAGTGTAAGATCTGTACATTGAAAACTATAAAACATTGTAGAAAGAAATGAAAGAAAATGAAGTAAATGGAAAGACATCCTGTGTTCATGGATTGAAAGACTGTAATGTTGAGATGGTGTGGTATAAAGAATAAATGGCCCCCAAAGATGTCCATGTCTTAATCTCCAGTGAATTCCTGTGAATCTCTTACTTTACATGTCTATGTAATAAAGTTATGGAGATTTTCTTGGATTACCACATAAAACATGTTTTATTGTCTCAACATCCAGAACTGTAAGATAATCAATTTTTATTGTTTTAAGTCACTAGATATGTGATAATCAGTTACAGAGTGGTAGAAAGCCAATATACACTGCAATACCTTCCAAACTGATCTACAGACTCAATATGATCTTTATCAAAGCCCCAGCTGGCTTTTTTTTTTTTTTTACAGAAATTGACAAGTGAATCCTAAAATTCATATAAGTAGCCAAAATGATCTAGGAAAAAAGAACAAAGTTGGAGGGCTCATACTTCCTGATAACAAAAGTTATTTTAAAGCTATATTAACCAAGACTCTGAGACCTACATAAAGAAAGATATAGACCAATGGAATAAAATTGAGAGTTCAAAAATAAACTCTTTTATTTATGGTCAATTTTTGACAAGAGTACCAAGATAATTCACTGGATAAAATATTGTTTTCAACAAATGGTGCTAGGACAACCAGATATCCACATGAAAAAGAATGACATTGTGCCCCTACCTCACACCATATACAAAATTAACTCAAAGAGGATCAAGCACCTAAATGTAAGAGCCCAAACTGTAAAAGTTCTAGAAAAAAAAATTGGTGTAAATTTTTGTAGCCTGGTACTAGGCAACAGTCTCTTAGACCACAAAAGCACAAGTAACATAAGAAAAAATAAATAAGTTAAACTTTATAAAAATGAGAACTTTTATGCTTAAAAAATTTATCAAAGGATTGATAATACAACCTACAGAATAGGAAAAAATATTTGCAAACCACATATCTGCTAAGAGTCTAATATCTAGACTATATAAAAAATTCCTACAACTCAATTGTAAAAATATAATAGAGAAAAAAATCATTAAAGGATTTAAGTTGGTATTTCTCCAAGGAAGATATACAAATGGCCAATAATTACATAAAAAGATGCTCAACAACATCATTTTCCATTAGGGAAGTGCAAATCAAAACTACAAAGAGATGTCATACCCAAAAGACTGGCTATAATAAAATTTTTTAATGAAAAAGAAAAGTTGGCAAGGATATAGAGAAATTGGAACCCTCATCCATGCAAAAGAGTTCTACTACATAGCCTTCATGGCAAACAGTTTGGGAAAAGAGTTAAACACAAGAGTTATTTCACAGCTATTCACTCCTAGGTATAACACCCAAACAAATTGAAAACATATCCACAGAAAAATGTGTACACAAATGTTTGTAGCAGTGTTATTCACATTAGCTAGCAAGTGGAAACCACAAAAACATTCATTTAGTGAAAACAAATAAATGGAATGTAGTATGCTGCCACTTACACATCTAAACCCTAAAGATCGGCAAGAGGTGATAGGGAACTAAGAAAGATATAAGGGAGCTGGGGATATAGCTCAGTTGGTAGAGTGTTTGCCTCACATGCAAAAGGCCCTGGGTTCAATCCC